ATGTACAGATGTTTTCAGATGGCCGTAGAGATCTCTACAGTCATTGTGTTTCCATGACTTGGAAATGTTGACAGTCACTCACACTTTCGGACAGCAGATTTTCTAGATGCTGTAAATGTTCCAGAACAGCAGCCCCAGCCAGCTGGATCAGCAGTGATCTGAAAGGGAAGAGCAGAGGTGGGGCCATGGCACACTGGGCTGGGTTAGAAGAACGATGAGGAGATTGCGAATGGCTTGTGCATCCTGATATCTATCATATTTTGGATGAACTCTTAGAAGCTCTCAGGGAAGAGTGACACGCCTCAAGTGGAAAAAGCTCAAAGAATAGGTCTCAAGGGTTTTCTCTCCCATATTTGCTGCACAAAAAGGGTAAAGCAAAACGGTCTGAACCAATCTACAAGTGTGATTAATATGCTGAGCCACATGGCTGAACCAAATTACATCCCAATACAGGATAAGAGTCTGCAGGGTTATAAACAAGAATTTCCATGGCTTCATCTCTCCAGCTGTTAAAGAAAACACTTGACATTTAGCAGAATGCACTTGATTCTCGATAGAAAATGGAATTATTGCTTCTTCCTAGCAACTGCCCACGAGGCACCTTTCACTCGGTGTTCTCCTGCCAGATGCGCTCTCTAGGCCCAAGTCAAATCCTCTCCTGGGGAAGTTCTCTGAACAAACAATCTTAAATGATTATAAATACGTACCTAAAGACCTTCTAATTGTTATCTCGTTAGCTGCAATTTTTCAGAAAGGAGAATGTTTTTCGTGGAAAAGCCTCACTCGCCTTTAAGCAATTTGCACAAAGTCACCATGATAATTCAGCAGAAAGCCAGGGCTTGGATCCAGGTGTCCAGGTTACGTGGGCCAGCTCCTCGGCGGGTTGCAGGTAGGCAGGGGTCTGCTGCAGAAAATGGATGTGACCCAGTGAACACCAGGTATCTGTCACTTTAGGAAACAAAATGGTATTCTTTACTACACATTGGCAACCTTTCCCCTTTCTTTTCTTATATTTATGTGAAATCTTCTTGGCACGAGCTCTGCATCTGGTCACTGAGATGCTCAGCCTATAAAAGATGTGCTCTCACCACTGCCTTATTTCATAATCTCATCTTTTATTTGTATCATAATTACTAAATATGAATCCAGAGGAAAAAAAGCATGAAAATGTGGTTCTGGGGGGCTTACTTAGGCAATTGACCCTTCTTTACCATGCTAAGACTCACATTCAATGGCATTGCTAGGCAACAGAGCAGACATTTCCTTTCCGGCCCTAAGTGGATACCAGGATTAATACACGATCAGTCAAGATACACATTTATTCACCTTCCCTCACAACAGTAATAGGATTTTTCTGGCCCCGCTTTAATTCAGTAGATGAGGCTGACACTGAATTAAAGCTGCTTATGCAGGTTCGCAGTGAGGAGGTGAGATCTCAGGGAAGGGAGAGGGTGATGGGAACGCACACCCAACCGCGCATCAGTCGACAAAACCAGAGGATTAGAAACCCTGGTGGAGGAAAAAATGCCATTTAATAAGATTTGAAAAATCCACTTCAAACTATTCAACTTCAGTGAGTTTGCTTGCCCTCACTATCCGAAATTTTGGTGCAAGGAGTTGGAGCAGTGGCTCGGTGCTGACTTTTTAGGTACTGCTCTCTGGGGACCGGCAGTGGCAGGACAGCGTGGACCCATTCTGCACGCAGTGGCTCTGCACTCCTCCAAGAAATTGCTTTCCTTGTTGTCCCTATTGCTTGTGGTTAAGTTGAGGGCTAACAGCTTTTCCCCTTTTATGATATCCTCTTTGCACTGCACTTTTCTGAAGTTTCCAAGTGGGAACTGCTTTTAAGGGCAGGAAAACTGCCCTTGTGGTTCTTCTGTCTGCCAGCGCCTTCGGATGTGGTCTCCAGGAGGGCCATGAAGGATGTCCCCAAAGGGACGGCATGGCTGGTCCAATGCAACCCTCCTTTTGTAGCACTTCCCTGGCACCAGCAGATGAGCTAACAACCAGATTAAATTTTTAAGTGGGGAAAGGTCTATTAATCTATTATTAATTAATATTCCATATGCCACCTTGGAGGCAAAGTGGGTCTTTTTGAAGCCATCTGGTTCCTCACTGCACTGGAGGAAAGCTTTTGTGTGCTGTGTGCTCCTGAATACGGTCTGGAAAATGGAGCTGTGATGTGTGCATGCTCCAGATGTCTGGCTGTCTCTGCGCCCACAGAAGAAGGAAGCAGACAGCTGGATTGCAGCATCCGTCTCATTAGAGAGTAAAGACAGTTGTCTAAGGTCACGTTTGCCCAAACTGTTTACAGGAACTAAAAGTCAAGTGCTGCATTCTGCTCTGTTCTGTGGGATGTGAAATTGGACAGTGTCTCTGCCACTGCTGTCCCCACAGGTATCTTGTCTCCCCTCTTGGGGACAGGACAGTGCTCAGGAGGAAGCACAGGCCAGCATGAATTTCTCGTTGTTAATTTGGAGAGTAACTTCATATACGGGGTTTGAAAGAAAAAAAGAGGTTAAGGTATAACATGGGATATTGTAGTATGCATGGATTAATCAGTCATGAAATAAATAGGATATGAATTTACTGCTGTGACATGGAGCACTCCTTTAGCTCAGGAAGCAGAAGCCCATGGCGTTAGAGCATCCTACTTTGCATTGTTACATCTCCATCAATAACTCAAAACTTCAGAGGGAAAACAATAAATTAAAAAAGAATGCATGTATTGTGTTTGATTGGAAGAGCAGTGTAGCTGGAAATAATCATGCCAAGTGCTAACACCACAACCTAGGTGGGGGGGGAGAAGGCTCAAAGAAACATCAGCATATCCTGGTTACTTTGGGAGACAGACGCAGGGTGAAGGAGCCCACAACTTCTGTACAGACCGAATCCTGCCTTGTTTGCATGCGCCTTCCATAGCTGGCTCTGTGCACTGGCTGCTGAATTTTCGAACAGAGAGATTTCACCCAAGGCACTGCCTTCCCCTAAATCAACAGGCCAGACTGCGGCGGAATTGTAAAGGCAGCATCAGTGAAAGCCATATTGCTCCGAGTGGGATTTGCATAAACTGTGCACTAAAAAAACCCTAATATTTAAAGTGCTACAACAAAGTAGAAAGAAAATACTTTCAAGCTGTATGACAACCTTATGAATATGCAAATCAGGAGCCGGAGACAATCTACTGGTTTACAGTAAATATTGAGGCATAACTGTGGAGCATTAAGTGGCAGATTTAGGTCCATATTCCTTCCCTTTTATTTATTTATTTATTTCAGAACAACACTTAGAGACCAATTTTATTGTAATGCGCCGAATCTGTTGAGTATTCCAGTCAGCTGATAGCATTTTTAAATCATACTTATTTTGGCATTTCTTATTGAAAGCAATAGAAGAACAACCAGTGGTGATAAATTTGTTTGCGGAAAGCAGCCTTGCTTGTCATTGGTGTACACTGCTGTAACTAGGGCAAAATTACGCTATAAATTTCCAAATTTATTGCCCTTTTTTTTCCCCCCCACTGGCAGTGACCAGTTATTCATACCCTACGTGCAGAGGTGTCCCGTGTTCTGGTGTTCTCTCAAGAGCAAAGTGCTGCAAACTGTTGCTGAGCATCAGGAAGGGGATGGGGGGGACCCCTCTGGGGAAGCGATGCCTGCAGCGAGCTCTGCAGAGCCCCGGCTCCTGTCCCCGTGCCTGCCCAGACCCAAACCTGAGTGCTGCCAGCATGGCTGGGCAAGCAGCACCGCCACAAAGGGTGTCACTGTGCTGGATGTTGTCCTGGTTCCACTTCTGTAAAATCCTCGAGGCTGACACGTGGCACAGATGAACCGAGGAGCTTCTCACCCAGTCCTAAAACAGAGCCCTGCTCAACAGCTGAAGATAAGCAATCTCCAAATCACCCTCTTGCTGTTGGGGTATCCCATTTAAACTTCTGATTTGGGCAATCTGGCTGCTTCCTAATGATACATTTATCAAGAAGATGAATGTTGTTGTATGTTTTTTTCACTCCTCTGCTGTGCATCAGTCATTTCCCTGAAGCACAGCTACGCAAATGGGAAGTTTCAGCCCCGAGTTTGGCACACGAAGTGCACATGTTACCAGCAAATTTGATTTACCCCGGTACTGTAAGATTACAAGCTTTATCTTTCCTTCTTTCTATAAATTTTAAGCATGGGTAACACCACTGAATTAATTAGGTTACTTTCATTCCACCGAAGCTAGTCTTTTTAATGCATGTCTGGAGTATGCAGTTTAGTTGCTGTTACACCTCTCTATTTGCCTTCCAAGTGAGAAAATGAAAGCAAAAAATGGTGTGTGCTTTAAGTTGTAATCTCTAGGAATTTGTTGCATATGAGGCAATAAATGACTGCTGCGATTGACTAAATGCCACAGCACTGCAGTTTATTTTAATTATGCTACAAAGGAATGAATATTATTGTTGTTATAGAAGCACATCCCAGGGAAAGAAGAAAAGATAATTGTGTCCCTGCATCTCCTTGAGACAGATCAGTAGCATTATATTCCCTATCACTGAGATTCTCAGAGCAGCAGAATCCAGAAAGAAAACATGATGAGGACCCAATTCAGGGAGCCTGTGCAGAAATAAAACAAAACAAATCTCATTACTTCCCTCTTCTGGAGCTGTGGCTGGTTCAGGTTTCATTCACCAGTGTCTGCAGGTGGGAATATTGGAAAACCTGCTGGGCTTAGGTTTGGTGGTCTGATGGTTTGGTTTTCATTTTGTTTTTTCCCCAGTAGGCTTAGCCAGGAGGAGACTGGATGAGAGATCTGGCTGAGGATTTATAGTACGTTGTGAGGGCATTATTTTTTTTCTATAAGTCAGGCAGAAATCTTTGCTGTAGCATTCAGCTTCTATCCGTTTGCTAACCATCAACAATTAAAGGTCTTGACTTGTTTCCCTAATGTACCATGTCTGTATCAAAGTATTTTAAAGGTTTTCTTAAAAAAAGATTGTAAAATGTTTTCATTTTTTGTATGGTCTCCCCTCGGAGCTTGGAATGTTACGCTTGGATCAGGTTTTCAGGATCTTCTCTGCCACCACAGGGACACGAAATGCTGTTTCCCTTCAGAATGAAGACGGAACATTTCGAGCAAAACTCACTTAGAAGACTATTAATGGAAATCATTGACAGAAATAGGAAAAGCCTGAGGTAAAAAAGCAAAATAGTACTTTAGCCATTAAAACAGCAGTTTAAGTTGATGGAAAGAAACTATTAAAGTATCCACAAGCTGAAATGATGAAAGAAAGAAGGAAGGAAGGAAGCATGGAGCCAGCTGCATCAGCTCTTTGTGCATTCCGTTAAGGGTATAACAAAATAGTTCAGGTGACAGCTGGAAGTAACTCTGAATCTGCAGGGATTTTACGGTCCTAAGTTGTGTAGGTATTTAAAAAGTTTTATCTGTTAGCCACAGAACAGACCCGGTTTCAGTTAATGTTGGGAAAGAAAAGAAGACAGGAAGCTGGAGGAAAGGAAAGCTCTTCAAATTTATCAATTAAAATCGACGGCTTCCGAGTGCCAGTTGTTGAGCAGTGCAGTTCTCAGCTCGTCCCTGCCGTGTGTTCTTGATCTCCTTTGATTTCCCTTGGCTTACTGGATGCACAGGTATTGCTCAGGCTACCAAAGCCTAGCACACTCTGAGCTGTTTACTGCGTCTTTCACAATATTTTCCTATATAAATGATCTCACCCAGAAATAAAATATGTTACATCAAATCCCTCTGTGGGCTTACACCGAAATCCTCTGGTCGAAAGGGAAATGCATACGGTACCCAGACTCGCCTGCCGGTCTCTGAAAAAGATGCGAGACAGCACCAGTAAGTCAGTGAGATTTCCAGCCCGAGGAACAAAGAAGCTTGTTAGAATGAAAGAGCCAGCTGCAGGATTTTGTGTCCCTTGCTTCAGCTCAGGTGTATTTTGTTTGGAAGTGGCATGGTGTGGTTGGACTAACATTGTCACACAGCGAATCTGGGTCTCATTCATGCCTCCAGTGCACACAGAAATGAAGGGATGGAAAAACAAATGTGCTATTTCCCAGAATAGAAAGACAGAGGTGATTTCCTCTGAATATTTTCATTAGGATTAATACAGCAACCTGCAGGATCCATAGAAATAACTGCAACCAGCAAGCTTACGTTTAAAACCAAACCAACCGAACAAAAACAGCGCACAACTTCCTCCAAACTCCCAGCTGAAATCTCACCTGATAATAACTTCTCTCTCAGTCTGTAAGAAGTGGGTGGGATAGAAATTGATGAGATTCTGAAGTTTTAGTAAGTTCCCCGACCTGCTGCCTCCAGCCCTGAGGCCGTGCCTGCCCAGAGGGCACAAATGGGCGCTGCACCAAGTCAGTGGAGACGAGTTCCTGTGCTGCCCCTCAGCTTACATTAAGCAAATATTTTCGAAGGACCTGAGTGAAAGGCTACTGAGGTAAGAGGAGTCTCTCCTCGTATTTCAGAGATTTTACATCAGCATCCTTGTGCAGATGCCAGGCAGCCCTGACATGACAAGTCGTGCACTTCTAACGTATTGCCAACATCTGGCTCAGCTCATGCCGTGGAATTTTGCCAGCAGAGCACAGGCAGCTCCTTAGACCCGTGGGGTGGAAAAAAAATAAAATTAATCTTTGCCACATGGCCCAGAAGGCTTGGACACAATCACATTTTGCAGCAATTTTAAAAATTATATACAAATAATGAGATTTCGTACAGGACTATGTTTGGCTTACATGTCCTGAATGTCATCTGCACAAATTATTGTCAGCTGAAGAGGTGTAAGTAAACCCAGGTACAAGTTTGTGTGGGCTGGAAATAGTGAAGGTAGACGTTTATTTCAGAGAAAAACTTTTAAAGTTAAGTGGAAAAGCAAAGGAACAACGAGAGTTGACGGAGGCCCGTGGTGTGCTGGGCTGCAGCTCCGGCAGGACAGCGGCTGGCAGTTCGGCCAGGACTGAGCTCAGAAGAGCATCAGGATGGGAATGAACCCTGTATGCCTTCCTCAGTGCTGTCTTTACAGAGGCATCATGACATATTCCCTACTTGCCCTTTTCTCTTTCTTCTTAAAATCAAGGTTGTGGCCTATAGGAGACATTTCTATCCATCCTAAAGCCACCAGCAGTGCAGAACAGACCCATAATGGGGATAACATATGGAAAAGGAAGACTGGCATTGAAGACCCCTGGGGAATGGCAGTCAAAATCTCCACGTTGCATAGCATTTATATGACAGCCTATAAAATAGAAATTTACGGGATAGACTATTGTAACAGAACTGGAGCCTTTACAAAGTATCTTAAAATGCTGCTTATAACAGAATCCGAACCCGCACGTCCCAGGGAAGATAATTATTTAAGTAAATTATCCAAGCCTTTGAACTGAAGGTTGAGTCTGTGGGTGATTTACAGCTCTCCAACAATAGCTGGTGACTCCACTTTCATCTAAACCAAAGTAAAGTAAATAAATAAATAAATAAATAATCATCTTCTTGTCTTCTTCTAAGCGTTAATGCAGTCATCGCTTGCAAAAGAAAAAAGCTCTTCAGTCAGGTTAAAAAAAATGAAAGACTTCAGCTCATCTTTAGCTTCTATTTTTTGATATATGGCAGTCCAAACAGACACATGCCACGTATACATAACTCAGACTCTCAAGGATTCTTTTGAGTTGATTTCTAAAGCTTTTCTGGTACCTTTTCAATGAGTTTTAAATACTGGGTAAAATTATGATCCAGAAAACAGATTGTCAAGACTTGTACTGTGTGTGATAGCAAAAGCATACAATGCTTGTGATATCCCAAACTTTGTTTATTCTGGGGTGCAGATGGTGGGAAAGAATAGCATGCTTAATAGCTGAGGGAATATAATAAGAACAATAATTTCTCATTTCTATTACATTCATCACCATGGTGTCCAGGCACACTTCTGTGGCATTTGAGAAGTAAATAATCCTCCTTTAGTTTCTCAAGTAGTTGTATTTTCCTTGAACTGATCTGAGTCAGGAATGAAGGGATGTGGGACATCATACAGAAACATTTAGAGAACAATGATTTCCTACCAATATTCTTGATTAGCTTTTAGGGAGGGCTTTGTACCAGGTTACTGCTGGGAAAGTAAAAACCAGTCAAGCCACCGAGAATATCAGACAAGGTGAATTATCAGAGATATTGCAAATTCTTCAACAGAAGAAATCAAAGAAGGCAAAGATTTTTCAAATGAGCTGAAAAGAGGAGGAGGATGTCAAGAGACCTAATAAAGGAAGAGTCACATCAATAATATGAGTGAAAACTGGAAATCAGACTGCAATCAAATGAATGGATAGGGGTTGTTGGGCCATTAGCCCATACTTATAATGCATATCCTTTATTATATGAATTTATGCCATAGTATGGACACATTTTCTTAGAAATACTCTCATTTTTCCCCCCATGATACTTGTGTATGAAGAGAATACTTGTGTATGTCTCCGAAGCCACTATACTTTCAGATCACATCCCACATAAAAATTCCTTCTCTTATAATACCTTCAAAATACTTGCATTGCAATTTAGATTACCTGCATGTTAAGACTATTGCTTATAAACACAGCTCTCTGATTCTGATCTTTTGTTCCCCTCAATTACGTGCTGCATCTAGCCAGAGTCTTTTATCCTCTATTTATTCTGCCAGCTCTTCAGCTCAAGGATAATTTTTTCACCTCGTGTTTTCATACAGTGCCTAACAGCTATTCGTGTGAGGCCACAGTCATCGGGTGGAAATCTGCATGGGGTGGAGGTGGCTGCACCATGTGGAAATCCCAGCTCAGATGGGAGGGATGCAAAGAGCTGGGTAGGACGAACACTGAAAGGAGAGGAGGTAATTTTTGTTGTCGTTCATACTACTGTCATCCCTTCTGGCTGCTGTTAGAGAGGTGATGGTTAGGAAAGCGATCCGAAAGCCACAAAATGGACATAGGCTTCCTTAAGCCAAGTGAACCAATTTATTCCCCAGCTGATTTCCCTTCATGTGAAAGACGAGGCGCTCCCACAATCATGTTGTACTGAAGCCACAGCTCAAGGTACACCGAAGCAGTCATTTTCTCTGCCTTGATCTGGAGCATTCAATTGATCTCCATCTTGTTAAGAACAAAATCGTAATTAAAGAAGAAGGGGAGGGGGCTTAGTGCACAAGGCCATATCCTGCATCCAGATGAGTAATTAGGGTGCCCTAAATACAGTGGTTTCCCTTTATCGCTGCAAGATGATGAACTTTCATCAGGCGTATCCAAACAGAGCACTGCAGAGCTTTAGCATTAAAACTGTCACTACCAACTCAAGGTATTTCTAACAGTCACATCAAAGGCAAAAGCTCCCACAGTGAGATCAGGAGCTGCACAGTCCGCAGCCTGGCTTTGTTACTGCACTGTTGTACAAAAACCCTCTCATTAAAGTTGCATTACAAGAAAGCAACAATAAAAGATTTCATCATCCCTCTCCGAGTCCGACCCTCCCCCAACAGGGGAAAAAATAAAAATACAACAAAAACAACTAGAATTAAGCACCGAGAGCAACAGATGTTCTCAGAAATGAGTGTGTATTCAGAGATAATGTGTGAACAGCAGGATACAGCAGAATTAACGTCAAGGTGTGAAAAAGAAGGCTCAGGATAGGGAGACTCGCACTAGGTGTAGGTATATATCTGTACGTGTCTGTATGTGTACGTAGTGCAATGGCTCCATCACTATCACTTGGGAGAAGCCATTCACTTGAGGTAGTCATTCTAGAAATAAGATCACCTCCATTTTGTGCATTTCTGCAGAAAATGCCAGAAATGCAGCCAGAGGCAAGGCAGCGTGCTGACAGCTTGCTTTGTTGGTCCTCCTCACCATTAATGAACTTAGATGATACATTGCCCCGTTCCCCTTGAATATCAAGACCTAAGTGGATACATGGCCTTTGCAAACTGACCTAGAGGATCCAAATCTAGCCCCTGCTAAGCAGGTAACAAGACCACAGAAGTTTTGTCCTCTGCTGAAAGTGAGAAAAAAAAACAAAAAAACACAAACATATATTTAAATTATTTTCATAATGGTGAGCTGAAGGAGACTGCCTTTTTGAACTCTAAAATGAGTCAACAGATTAAAAGATAAAACATTTCTATTTAAATCTTTACCTGAATTATCACCTTGAAATTTTTAGATTTATATATCTTGTTTTTGCCATCAAATGCATAATACTAGAATCAAAGGTAGTAAAACCATTGATCTACACTAAGACAATATTAATATTACCATATAGCTTTTATAATTAATTTGCTGCCAGATGAAAGGGAAACACTAGGTCCTTTTAGTGCTGGTGATTAAAGCAAAAGTAAACCTTTGAAAGCCAGATTTGCATGTACAACATGTTGCGCTGGTTCCAGCAGATGACTTGGAAATTGTTAGTACATTTAGAGTCACATTGCAGAGCTTGGAAAAAAAGTCTTAGTGAATTTTAGGGGGAAAATCTGATCTCTGCTAGAATATTGGGAAGTCTAATAGTGTAAAGCTTGCTAGACTGATATTCTATCTTAATTTGGTTGTATATTTTCTTGCAGGTTAGGTTTTTAGCAAACAGTAGTACCCATATTAGCAGATATGTATATATAAGACCTAGGAAAGAAGGGAGAAGCTGATTGATCCTGTAAAGATTTTGTGTATTTTTAGCAGGCAATCTATCCTGGCTTGGTTTTGCAGCTTGTCTGTATATTCACTCAAATAACTGGATAGCCAAGCTGAGACAAGCTTGATAATTTGAGTTATCACAGTTTCCCCCATCACCTGCCGTCTGAGCACTGTCACAGGTGCTTAAACTTAGATCAGGGGATATCAAGTGAGGCGCCTCTGTTTAACTATCACTTGTGGAGGTGATGAAGCCAAATGCTTTGCTTTATGCCATGTCAGAACGAGCTGTCATTCCTGTTTTCAAGTTATGCTTTTCTAGAAATAGCATAAAGTACTTGAAAACAATTCGATTTCAGGTTGAAAATTGGAAGGAAGATGCCTGCCTCTGTTCTGTGCTTTTTCTCTGTGTTCCTCACACATCCTTATGCCGTGTGATAAAAGAATAAGGATGTAAGCTCCAGTAACCTTTCTTATAACAAGTCCTGTGAGGTGCCCACATGTGTATCTGGGATGTCTGTGCACTGTATCTCTTAAAATCGACTTAACAACTGTGTTTTCATGGACTTCAGGGACTATGGATCCAGGCAGTCGTTTCATTGCAGCTTTCTGTCTCCGAGCCTTGCAAAGCTCAGCACAGCATAAAGAAACGATGCCCTTTATGTGCACTGCACACTGGTTGTGAACTGAAGAAACCTCCTGCTATGGGAGCCAATGTGGTTTTCCTTCTGTTCCCCAAATGCTTCATGCTGGATCAAGTATAGTCAGTGATCCTGCAAATGGCATAAAGCTGTCCTAAAAAGTACAGAGCTGGCATAAGCTCCGTATCATGTACTGCGGTATTTGGAAAATCAGCCACAACTGATCCAAATAATAGCAGCATTGGGTTAATCTGACAGAGAATTCATTCAGCGTTAACGACCATGGAGCCATGGTCGGAATGATTTTGTGCGACTTTGTACAAACCATTTAGCTGCGCCACGAAATGATTATAAAGGCTTTCCTGATTCCCAGGTGCAGTTTGAGGCTTAATTAATTAATGCCTGCAAAGCACTTTAAGATTTTAGATGAAAGGTATCACAGAAGAGCAAATAGCATCATAAGTGAAATATTTTGAAGAAAAAACTTTGAGGAGTGATTGAAGTTTACTTGTAGCTGGAGTATTCAGCTTCTGCTAGGTGAGGACAGATGTATTCCCTACAGATGTTTGTGGTTGTATTGATGTGATGCTGTGGTTTGCATGTTTAGAAGCTATCTTGTCTCTCTGCCTTTCTAGAAATAAGTGAGAAGCATGGTATGGGCTCAAAACATAATTTGACATAATACTAAAATACACTCACAAAGGAATTTTCCTTCCAGCGCTGAATTTTCTTAGTGATTATAAATTAGTCAAGTTATTTACATCTTTCACTCTCACTTCACTTAATGATAGTCAAATAATAATAATAAAAAAATCCTGCAAACTGTTTTCCCTAGTGTTAGATTTTCTTTGCATAAAGATGCCCTAAAGGCCAGCTCTTTATACTCAGTCTACAGCCCTGATAAACAGAGAAAGGACAGAGGGGAAGAAAATATCTGGTACTTTATCCTGGGCTTTGATTTCCAAAAGGCAAATCATGTATGTTATCTTCATGTAGCTATATCCCGTACACTGACAGTTCTTCTGGTGGTTCTGTAGTTGTTTCAGTGAAGTGATATCCTGGGGCTGGAGACGGGCAGCTTTACCTCTTCGAATGTCCCCTATCAAGATTAAAAGCCAAACTAGGGTAGCAATTTCCTTATCCTTCCAAGTTGTCAGGACCAAAGTGATTTCTGCTGAATTGCCATGTCCCTTTCATCCTTGTGTAGTTTATCTAATCTATTTGTTTACAAGAAAGCAACAGCTCTTAGAGGTGAGTGTACAAAACTAAGAAAAATAACAATACACTTTAAAATGGGTCTGTAAGTACTAATTATTAAGCTTTATTAATATTTGAACCCAGTGTGAATTTCTGAGCCATTATGAAATACTAAGTTTCAAACTGACTTAGTTTTCCATCATGAACAATTCCAACACCATTTTCAAGTGACTTAGAACCAATAGCAAGAGCTGCTTCTTGTTAGAAATCCTTTGATTGCCCCTGTGTCCAAGCCTGGGTGTCATTTTATTCCCTTCCATGGATCTGAAAGTGTCTTGCCACACAATTGCTATTCATTCTGCAACGGGATAAAAAGTGCCTTGAGTACCTCTGTTCCTTATGAGCAAAGAGCGCGTTATGATCTACTTGGATGAAAAACATTATAAAATGTAATGTTACCATTACTACATTCCATATAAATACACTTCTAAGCCTGGTTATAAATCTTCCATTCCTCTGGCTGTAGCTAACATTTAAGAGACATATTTGTAGTGTTTTCCATTCAGGTTTCCTTTAACAGCACCAAGGGGTTTCATAAGATTAAGTGGAAAATAATTATAACATCACCAATATTTTAAAAATCTTGTTACACTTTTTCTTTTCTTTGGGTAAGTGATTTACGGAACAATAATTAAATGTCAGGAAATGAATCACAGATGAGATACCGACATTTGATAGTGTTTTGTAAACAGACTAAATGAGTCCAGAGAGAGGTAGAAACTATTGATGTTTCCATAAAAAAATCTCCACAGAGCCTCTGAAAGGAGAATATGTTATTGAATGTAAATACAGGAACCTGATCAAGGAGGACTGTAATCTATTAGGGAAAGGAAGTGCTTTTGATTCCTGCTAATTTAAAAGTGAAGCTCGGGAGACCAATTCCCACCAGCTGTCATCACTTATAAAATGAGAGAGTTACCCCTTTTTTCTCCTTGTTTTTGCTCCCTACAAATTTTAAGAATTGAGCAGTTGAGAGGTTTGAAGACTTCCACTCCTCCACAGCGATCTACGTGAAAACCAACATGTCCCAGTCCAGTGTCAACAGGATGACAGGTGGGAGGGGAAGCTGGGAAGGTTTAAGAATTGCTGATGGTTTTTTAGAAGTATATTACGCCCATGTACATTGTAAGTACTTAAATGCCAGTGTGTTGTTAGCTTTCCTTTTTTAAAAACTATTATCAGGAAGATGGAACTAAATGGCTTCTTAGGGTCCTGGCGTCCTGCCTGTAAAGTTAAAATGGAAGTGAAAAGAAAGGCAACTGGTAGAAAGACAATCAGAAGCTCTAACATTTAACTATAGTAATTCAATAGCTGGCTAAGGCTAGAGTTAGGTAAAGGGTGAGTAATGATACCTTGATCACAATAAAGGGGGAAAATATGCTTTGCCATATGAAAAAAAGACCGAAAAATCTACATAAAGCTGTAATACAGAGAAACACACACATAAACATGGTAAAGTAATAAAGAGAAAAAAATAGGAGGAGGGAAACAAGAAACATAGTAAAATTGCTATAAGTAGGTCAATGTTGAAAAACAGTTAAGTAAAATGACACGTTAAAATATATAATATAATCAAATCTTGAAAATACAACATAAATGATGTAATGGAGAGAATACTGTTGAAGAAAATAAAACCATGAGGACAATAAATATAAAATAATAGAAATAGTAAAGGAAGTACAATGACAGATTTAATAAAATAATAAAAAGGGATAAATCTCATTGCCTGAATTATTGTTTTACTGTAAATTAGTTTAGCAAGTAGGTTTTGTCATGATGTATTTTTTCTATTCCTGCATCTGTACTATAGACTCTGCAGTGAAAGGCAATGTTTAATCAGTAAGCAAACAGGTGCTATTAAAAACATTCCCTGAGAAAAATAAAATAGAAAAATGTGAGTTAAGTCACTGTTTTAGCAAATAGCTTCAAAGGCATTAAGGCAAAACTGTGAGGAGTGTTTATTGAGTGTATTGGCACAGTTGTAGACAGATGAGGCTTAATTAAATGTAAGAGCGAACTGCAAAGCCTTCCCTGGATCAAGCCATGGAAGGTAAGAGGATCGTGCACCCCCAGAAACCTCTGGCATAGCCACAGAGTTCTCCTGAATTCACAGGTCTAGGCACACAACCCAAACAAAGTATATAATTGAAGCACGGATGCTGAATTAAATCATTTATCCTGTGTGCTTTAGCTAATGTGAAAAAAAGAAGACCCTTTTCTTTCCACAACCAGTTGTCTTTCTGTCTGTTTAGGTGTACGCCCTCAGCTAGGATGTTTAAATGGTGCTGTTAAATGAGTAAATTAGTATATAATGCTACTTTTGATCCAAGGAATGCTTTTTTTTCAAGTTTATAAAATGCTTAAATTAATAAGGCTTACTCAGAGCTGTGATGAAAGTGACTTGGTCACACATCTTAAGCCCACTGAAATGGGGAGCAACGTTCTCTGCCTCCAGAATATTTCAAACACAGCGATGAATTGTGGCAGGTGCCTACATCCTTGCACTTTTTCAATCACAAACCAAGTTGAATGTGGCACTAGGTACCAGGAGATATATAAAATCAAGTATATTGCTGATAGGGATTTCTTTGTTTTCACACCACTATTTCTCCAGAATGAAATATGCAGTTGTGATAAAAACATTAAAAAAAAAAAAAAAGCAAAAAAAAAAAAGCAAAAGCTCCTTATGTGAGAGATTAGAAGTTAAAGTTGCTTTGTTTCTAATTTCCTTCTCTTCTATTTCAATACATCAAGTAAATGCAGCTGATTTTCATTCTGTCTAAACTCCAGCCTTAGATTTTTTTTGCATTAAACAGCAGAAATGTGGGTTTATGTCAAACAGTCCTTTAGTCAAGCACGAGGAACTAGGTCAGAGAGTTTCTAAAGAGGAATTTTACTCATGTAGAACATAAACATGCTTGCAGCTTCTTCTCCGTACCTTCCCAATTGACTCTAACTACAGAAAAGTTCATTTACTGTAATCAATATCACTTTACCTCATGCCTCAATGAAAAAATACCTTCTGTAGTCAATAGCAATTAAAGAGACAGACAGGGACAGAAATATTGATGGAGATGAAACCGAAGATTTATACCTGCTTACTATCTTTCCTGAATATGTAATAAAACAACTGCTAATTGTAAAATATTGTGTTAGTAAATGTTCATTGAGAAACTGCCTGGAGAGAGAATAACACTTCCAGTGGTGCTGGAGACAAAATCTGTTTTGGGGCTGTGGTTTGCTCACTTACACAGGGTGTGTGTAGAGGAACTTCAGGAGCATCAGTAGGACCATGTTAGGTACACCCAGATGGAGATGGCAACAGACTGTGTGTGTAGGGCCAAGCTGCAGGCATCGTGGAACTGCCCTTACTTCTGATCCTGTAAAAATAATAATCTGGGGGATCACCTGTCTTTTTTTTTTTTTTTTTTTTTTTTATCAGAGTGTTATCAGTGAGTGACTTGAATAATTTATGTAGAGCTGGTGTGGTTAATTGGCACCTGTGTTCTTTAAATAGAAACGCTGTGTGTCTCTCAGGCATTTTCATCTGGTTTACAGGGAAATCGTCTGGCAGCTTTCTCTGGCCTGTTCTGTTGAGGTCAGGCTGGCTGGATCATAATGGCTGTTACGGCCTTTCCAAATCTATGAACTGTGTCTTATCTCCAGTCTCCCCAGATACAAGAGGAAGGCCTTGTAACCTCTTTAGCTTATACACTCTGAGACCACTCCATGTGTGAATCAAAGCATAGGAAATAAGGATGATCAGGCAATTTACTTCTAAAGCACACTCCTCATCTGAACTAAGATGCTAACCCAAAAGCCAGTAGCATTCCAGACCTGTGAAGGGAGAACTAAAAAAAATAAAATCAAGAGCAATGAATATACTGTGTGATTTGGGTCATAAAGTACACACTGAGGGAAATTCACCTTCCTGCAAAGGTCCTGGAAGAAATCCCACGGCAGCTGTACATTGATGGGCTGGAGGCTGTGTGTGCTGGCTAAAATCCTAAACTCCTAGGCAGTTTGAAAACCTGACCATAAGGGTTTCAAGATTCTTTAGCAAAGTATGTTGCTGTAATGAGTTAATTTAACCTGTACCATGCTCCTTTCACAAAGCAGCTCCTTGCCATTTTTAGAGCATTCATTTGTATTACAGTAGCGTGTGGCATTTATCATAGCAAAGCATTTCCTTGGGCTTCCATCAAACAACTAGAAAAATGTCCTAACAACATATTAACATTGCCTCATTCTATTTATGTTTTGTGAGATGCTATGCAATATAACAAAGGCTGGCAAGACCTGTAAATACAGTAAAGAAAGTGGTTAAAAAAAAAAACAAACAGCTTGCAATTGCTTTGTGGGCTCTCAGTTACTTCATGTTGACGTGGACCTGCTATTAACTGGCTACTCAAACCAGTTAATTTATTACAACTGGAATCTAGTTTCAGTCTACTTGATTTAAAAAAAAAAAAAAAGTGAGGATCTGCTTGTTTAATGGTGCATAAACCCTTCCCCCTAACTTGATATTAGACAATAAATTCGACATGAAAATTTTATTTAAGTGCTTTAAAAAGCAGAACTTGGTGTCATGTATTTATTATCCTCTCTCTAGCTGCTTTTATTAGAATTACCAGTTTGTGATCTAGTGACTCTAATGACAGGATCATCAGGACATTCTCCTCACCACCCTTTTTGTATTAGAGCTGAAGTAAAGAGATAATAATGCAAGATTCAGTCAAGCGTTTTCTGCATTTCAAGCTGTCATTTAAAATGTACAAACATTCCCGAGAAAGGGAGATTCTTTTCTTCTTCCATCCTTTTATTCCTTTGTGGTAACTTTCCCTAACGGTACCTTTGACAGCTAAACATGGTTTCTGACTTCTAATCAAAACTGCATGAGCTCAGTCAGTTCTTCCTCCATCTCCCCTTCCTTTGCCAATGCCTGCCCTGTAAAAGTCATGTTTAATGCCCCCACTGAAAGACTCTAGTTATCACATAATTATTTCTGCAGTCTCTCTGTTAAACCTTTGTCACTCCAGCAACGTATTTAAATGAGGTGGGGGAAGACTGTAATTGAAATGTATAGGAAATCTATAACTTGCAAATGGGAACACAAAAGGAAAGGAGTGTAACTGGTGCAGAATGGAAGCACCACCTTGTGAGCTTCTGATGACCTTTTAGAGGAAACAGCAATGATGATTGTGTGCTGCATGGCTGCAAAGCTTCTCAACAGAAATGTGTGAGTGTGGATCTCAGAAATAAGGTGTTTTTGGTTTTTTTTTTTTTAAAGATCTGCAGGCTATACCTAAATATCCTGATTATCCATTTGAAAAAAACAACAACAACAAACAAAGAGCCACCTCAGCCAAACAGTAGCATAGCATCAGAATTCCTGTGTGATGTTTTTTCTCAGTGTAAATCCACTGGTTTTCTGCCTTAAAGATGCATTTCAATATCCATCAGTTCTCTGAAGTCAAGAATGGAGGAGTTTAGAAGCTGGATTTTTGATTCACTCCCATCCATAGCAACTAACAAGCTTGACAATACGCGGCAATTTCTTCTTAAAACTTCACATTTAATATTCTTCACTTAAAGCCCTCTTCTGTTTGTCTAGTGCAAGCTGAGACAGGTAAAGCAAATTAATTAAATCTTCTTTCATTGACAGTATGATGAAATCTTAATGCTATTGTTTGAATGCTGATGCATCCTCTTATCTCTTTGTTCAGAATCTGATGCAGTGAAATGTCCTGGTTATTTGATGACAGGAATGAGGAAGGTGCTTTCTGCAAAGGAGAACAGTGGGTACTTTGTCAGCCAGCACCACTCAAGTGAAATCCAGGTCATGTCGATTTCAGACCTTTTTATTAGTCACTGCATTCTGTATTTCATGCATGCATTATTTTCACTGTGTCTTTTACACTTACTGTGGTATGTCAAAAAGCAGCAGACAGATTTGTGTGTGTAGAACAATGCAAAAGCATTATGGTGAAATAACAGTGAAATAGTACTAACATTATAATATTACTTCAATACATTCTGAGAAGTAATGCCAATAAAAGAGCCTTTGGATCAGTATAACATCAATGCTAGGGAGTGTATTAATCTCACAGTAACTATTAAGAAACAGAGCGATGCTGAAACTATACAAAGGAACTGTTACTGAAAGAATGAGGTACCAGCTGTTCTGAAACCTGTGGAAAGTATTTTGAACCAAATAACTATCAAAGACCCCTTCCAAGCAACCTTCCCTACTGAACATGTGCAAATAAAGCAGAGGTCCAGCACTTTCCCTGGCCTTACTTTTCATACTACACGCAGGCTGCTTTAGGATAATACCTGTATATTTTACACTCAGCTTCAGAATGCTGTTAGCTGTCAGACAGACTTTTTTTTTTCGAATGTTTTATTCATGTGTCACTTGACTGTTCATTTGCTAAGGGTTTACAAATGCTTCATCAATTATTAACAGTCCTGATACCTACTTGTTATTTTGTTGTTGTTGCTTTTTTTTTTCTTTTAAGGAGATGTTGGGGGAAAGAGAACACTACAAAATTAAGAAAACAGAATAAAATAGGAATTAAATAATTTACATCTACTTACTGCACATATCCAAGTTAGTTTTTAAAGGAAAACAGTTATACAAGAGAAAATTGAATTAAGTGTTTCCAGTTGTTTCCAAGAAGCACAGAACACCTATGTTCTCTCCGGGTGCATGCAGTATGCTAAAGAGATCACTTTGTACGCTCTCAAGAGAGAGAATACGCAGAAGATTGTTTGAAAACAATCCAAGGAATGAAGATCACATCACCTTAGTAAAAAAGTGAAGGGAAGATGTGCTCTTGCATCTGAAGAGATATGTATCTTAGTGCCTAAAAAAGGACAAGGTATCTAATGTGATGTCTGTCTTTTAAACCCTCATGTCTCTAAGAAACTTCTGTTGCTTTTCCTTTGGTACAGCTCTATGAATAAATATAGTGGCAAAATAGAGGCTTAAGGACATTCTGATATATTTACCAAAGTCTTCCTTGTCTGCCTGCTTAATCTCTGCAAAGGAGTGGTACAACTTTTCCCTCTCCCATCACAGTGCTAGTTCCACCATGTTAGAGAAACACAAATCTTTTGGTTTTGTTTTCTGAAGTCAACAAATAATGACATGTAGAGTTTTCATTAGCTATTTGTAAACACATTTATAAACTATTTAATAGCTGCTACTTCCAAAAGGAAAATAGGAGAGTTTCTTGCTTCTCCAAAAGAATAAACTGAAAACAAAATGTTGCAGAGCTGAGTAAGAACTTGGACTTCTGGAATAGCAGCCTTTCCACAAATGCCTTCAAAGTTGGTCTGTTCTCTTGTCCCTTTGAAAAATTGTTTGGGAAATCTGCGGTTCTCAATGCTGAAAGCCCTGTTTTGCTGAGCAAATCAATACATGGGATTTCTTTCTACAAAGCCCTTTGAAGCTCGAGCAATTGTCTTGATGGGCTCTGACTCACTCCCAGGAAGAGCACAATCAATTATCTAATCTCATGAAAACAAAGTACGGGCCCAAGCAGTGCCATCGCTGGTGCTGGGCAGCGCATTGATGTCTCGTGCAAAGTACGGCAAGAACATAACAGCAGTGATTATAAAAATGGCACCCTGTTTTTAAAAGCTGACAGTGGCCTTTCAAAGGGAACAGAACATTAAACGTGCGGGTGGTTATGCAGATCACAATATGCGTTGCACGTGATGTTGTTGCTGTTAGGGACTGGAGAGAGGGCTGGAGGCTATTCAAGGCTAGGCTGAATGCGGCTCTGTGGGGGCTTGAAACTAGATGATCTCAAAGATCCTTTTCAACCCAGGCCATTCCATGCTGCTGTGATTCTATGATTCTGTGCAACATAGGCCCCGGATTCCACTGTTTTGTATTTTTTCCCCTCAGAGTTGGGTGCTCCAGGCTCCACCTGGGCTCTGCTGACTGAGGAGGCCTCAGCCAGCAGCAGGCCCGAAGCTCACCAGCCAGGCCCCAGGAGCTCCACACAGCAACAGATCTCTCTTTGGGGGTAAAAGAGTGGAGATGGGATGATCTGCTCAGTGCTGACAGCATTCTTACTAACAAAATGTGATAATTTTGGTTTGGATGTGACTCTCCTGGCTTCCATCCCTCAGGCTAAGGTGAGGGCTTCCCCTCAGGCAGCTTGCTCCCAGTGCTCCTTGGTCCCTTTAGAATTTTCTTACTTAAATCCCCAGACAGGTTGGAATCCGTCTTTACTGAGTCATATGCTCATTTACTTTCTGATCTATTCTCTGTATGTTATCAAATAAAAGGTTAATTTCATTTTGCATGAGGCAAAAATGCCAACGCCCACCTCTTTTTATTTTAAGCTGTTTTGTAGTTAAATAGAGCTGTGTTTGTTATTTCACGCCACAAAATGAAATAGACTGATGTGTTTTTTGTTGGTTTTGTAATCTCCCAGATGTATAGCAAATACTCTTAACGAATAGCAAGGAGTACTTGTTAATGGAAGAGTTAATTACAGGACACACTTGGACTGGCTCACAGACTTTGGCTACCTTTTTTTAGAGGAGCCAGAGGAGCTGATGTGCCCGAGCATGCTTTGGGTTGAGGAGCGAGGAGAGCATCTGGATGTGCCACCAGCATGCTGGTAGCATGCTTTGTTGGTCTTCCTCACCATTAATAATGGACTTAGAGAAATGAGTTGTTATGCTAATTATCAAGGATAAAATGGGGTGCTCTTGGAAGTCTGGGGTTTAGCCTTCCTGGCCAGGCCTGTGAATTTCCTTCCTTTCTTTCCCTGCCTAGGGATTTTGCTGCCCATTGACTTTGGTGGATTCCCTGAATCACCTTCCCGCTTTTCCTGAGTACTTGGATCCAAGGAGCAGGCTGACCACGAGGAGCACTCATGCCAAGGCAGATGCGTGGTGCTGCTGATCGTGCCAGGAGCTGTTTGTTAATTGATGGTATGTAAGGGCGGGGGGGATCTCTGAGAAACAGGCCTTGATGCATTGCCCCATGCCCCTTGAATATTAAGACCTAAGTGAACACATGGCCTTTACAAACTGGCCTAGCTGATCCAAATCTAGCCCCTGTTGGGCAGATATCTAGACCACAGAAGCTATCAACTAAGCTAAGCTGACATTCATTAGGTTTCTTGTCAGCAGTTTCTGAAATGATGCCATCTCCAGGGTGGAACATAGCAGCTAATTAATAGTATTTAATTTACAGTGTCATTGTGATACCCCCACTAATACATAATTGTAACAACATTATTAACAAAAATATTAATCCTCTTTGTCACCCAGAATGTTTCTCAAATCATTCTGTAGCTGATCAGATTTGTCAGTCTGGCACAAAAGAAACCAACATTATATTTGTTATTCTTAGATGCAGCTGAGCTTATTGTTTGTTTGCTTTTAAATGATTGCCTTCAACTTTTAAAATCCAGATTTTTCATTTTAACCTAAATTGTGTTTTATGATACAAATATATTCTTTTCAACTAACTCTTATGCTTACAGGCAACCAATTACTATACCAGGGGAGCCCGGAGTTAATATTTTTGGTTTCAAAGCTTCACTTTATTTGAGACTCTATAAATACATTCTCATGAAGTATTTATACACCCTAACCCAGCTCAGAGGAAGAAACAGAAGTAATGGGTAAGTAATGGAGATACTATTTGTGCTTTTCCGTTTTAAAAACAGACTGTGTTTTTAAACCTGCTTGAATTTTTAAATGAAAAGTAAAGCTCAGTTTTTGTATTAAAATGAGACTCATTCAGTGTGGGGGAGATGCTGCATTTGTGAACTCTTTTTTTTTTTTTTTTCACAGTGATTTTGTTGATTTGAAATGGTTTTGTAGATGGTTTTGTAGATTTGAAATAATTTGTACAAGGTTTATACCTGCAGCTAGCTCTATATGAGAGACAAGCTGTCTTATATCCCTCTCCTATATAGGTGCATACTTCTTATAGATGTCTGTATTTGTATTCATAAACACACACCTATATAGCAGGTTAGTCACTTGCTAATTTCTCTAGCTATGTCACTAAATATATCGTGTACCTTACTAATTCCTCAACTCCTAACTGTGATGATGGCACCTGGCCTCTGCTGTTTCAGTGATGTGTATTCATTCAGTGTCTGAAATCTTTCTACAGGTGATTTTGTATAGATTTTGTGTAGTCCCGATATGAATCAAAACTCTTTTCTGTTTTCTAATCTAATAACTAATCTAATATGTACATAATTTACTGGCATATATGTAGTGTTTATCATGGTGGGAACAGATATGAAATGTTTTGATAGCTTCATCACACTCATTTGAGTTGGAATTTGTCTTCCTCATTGTGCAGTGGCGTTTGTTCCATTAGCTGCTATCCCAGTCTTGCACCAAGAAGTTTTTTGTATCAGAAGATGCTATCAACTGTGCTCTCTGTCTTTGGACTGAATTTGCAAATTGCCAAACACCTTCAGCTGTTATTTGCAGCAACGAGAACTAAGTTCACAGCCCGTTTCTGGTATAGGACTTGAAGTAAACCTAATTCATCAGTGTAACTAACTGCAACTCTAAGACAGATAATTGTGTCTTCCTGAGGTAATATAATTTACATATGTATTTATAACTCTGAGTGAACTTAAAAACCTTATTTAATTAGAATTTAGCCTTTTTTTTTTGATTTTTTATTTTCTCTGTATATTTCTGCTACTCCCACTGTTTCTAATTTTTATTTTAGGGCTTCTTTCTCCATACAGGGTTTGTTTTTGGTGACCCTTCAGTGCCTTCTAAAGACATTTCCTACATGCATTGAATATGATTTGATTTATCCCTTCTCTTACCCATTTTATAAATGTTTCTGAAACACACGGGTGTAACAATAAGCTATGATTCAGCACATTTCCATCACATAGAAATCAAATTTCAGTGGCTCTGATTACTCCTTATTGTACTGAGATCAATAGATGGGAGAACCCTTAACCTAGCAGCATGCCAGAGTGCCCGACATGTATTCATAAGAAGAGTCTATAAATTCAATAGAAATACTAGGTTGAAGGGGGCATTCATGCTTTGAATAGCAAGGTTTGTGAGTTGATTTTTTTTTTTTTAAGCTTTTCTACCTTGCTTTACACAAATTGGATTTCTAAAAAGGCTTTGAGTCCTTCAGAGTTTGTACTTTGTAGCTGGGTAAAAAAAGAGATATAGATTGTTATACAATATCTACCAAAATAACAGTTCTCTAGTGACTGAATGACACTTCATTTATATTCCCCAATTACTACATTAATTCTAAATTTCACTTGTTAAAACTACTTTCCCATTCTGAGGTTCTATATTGTACAACATAATACACTACAATGCATTGTGTTTCATTAAAAAAATAATTTCTAAACTAGATTGATATATACTCAAGTCAGAAGAGGCCCCACATTCCTTTTTAAACTCAGTGATAGGAATCTGGAATAGTCTATTGTTTCCGCTGGAACTAATGTAGATTTTAGTGGTACAAAGAAGAGCAGGACTTGACCCTCACTGCCAAGATGGATGGGAAAAATATTATGTCACTATTTGCAGTACTACATACCACTCTAATAAATTAAATGTCGTGCCTTACATTAAATTCATTTTTATATAGAGTTTACCAGTCAATAACTGAAGTAAAGGATGCAATTTTGTCATAAAACTGAAGAAGTCTGTGATTTTCCATGTTAGCATTTCATTTAGGATAAGCTATTGGCTTTGTACAGACAAATAAGATTCAAGTCAGTTTAGTTTCTTTGAAATATTTCTTATCTTTTCTGTACTATTGTTATTTTTATGCTTCAAATGATGTTAATTAATATATTTCAGAAACTTGAAGGTGGCAATATTGGTGGTTTATGCAGAAATATACATCCCATATCCTTGCTCTTAAGAGCCTGCATTCTTACTGGATGAAATCTGTATTTGCTAGGGGCTCAAACACCATTCTTTTGTACCAGTTAAAGCTCATCTTTGCTTTACTTCCTCTCTGCAACAGAAATGCGTGTCATTTATACAGCCTGAGAAATTAGTGTTCCACCTTCCTTTTCAGGAGAAATTCTGTCTACAAGACATGTCCAAAAGAATCATAGAATGGCTTGGGCTGGAAGGTTCTTTCAGATTTTGCTGCTGCAATCCTTTGACCCTTCTGCTTCTGTGAAGAAAAAAAAAAAAAATCAAATCTGTTTTTATTTATTCAAAAATGGCCTCTTAAGAGCTGATGAAATTGTGTTAGTAAGATGTATACTTTGATGAATTTGCACATATGTATGGGATTTGTGAGGAAGGAACAAGGATACTTTCTTTTGGCAGGCATTATGTCTTTCTCTTTCATGGAGTATAATGTGTTTTTTTTCAAAGACATGAAATCAAAAGCCTCCTGCCAAAGGCAGCTTTGTGTGGTAGCTGGTTTAATTTTTCTTGAAAATTTTGCCATGGGCTATTTTGAAAAGTACGTTGCTGTTGAGGGTGCAGAGCGACGCATTTGTTTCACATGAATGGTGGCAAATTCCAAGACTGACTTATGCGCTTCTCTATGGTTTTCTAGCATTGGTTTCTGAGAGAGCCAGACATTGTTATGTGCACATTGAGACGACATTGCTGACTCCAGCTATTAAAGATTTATTTGGCTTGAGAACATGTTTTGGTTTTGCAGATGATTTCAAATGGCAACGAGGCTGAATGCTGGCACAACAGATAGTACCGTGTGATCCTGATGAGCTACCTGATAGACAAGACAAAGTAAAAACAACCTTGATTTCTGCATGCGTGTTATTTCAGGCCTTCTGAGCAAGCAGTGGCTGAACTAAAACTGCATTTCACAGGTAATTCTTATCAGTTTATTTACCGTAACTTAAGTCTTGTGATGTTCACATTTTTTGAAATGAAAGTCAACGTGAAGTTTGTCTGATCACCCTGAAGTCATTTTATGTATTGAAATATCTAGTTCAGGGTTCATTCAACTCCATGCATGCATCAGTGCTCGACTTAACCAGGAAGATAAAGCACTTGCACTGTTTTTCAAGGCTGTATGTTAGAGCTTCTGGGTACTTCATTCCTTGGGTGAGGGCAAAAAGACAATGGTAGATTTGAGCTTCACCATAGACAATCCATCAGTGTACAGTTCTGTTGGATGTTATGCCTCTGAGCAGATACAAACACAGACCTCTGGCTACATGATTTTCTGCAAGAGTTTGCAGTTCTGGTAATCAAAATCATTTCCTATTTATATAGGAAATATATAAAGTGTAGCACCCAGTTCACTATAATGAAGAGTTGAGTCTTCTCTATCTGTTAGAAACTCAGACCTTGAGAATGAGCAAATGTTTTGGACCATGTCTGCAGCCCAGTAAGCAATTATTTAATCACAGCAGTATAGCTGAGCATTGCAGTCTTCTGTGCTCCTAATGTGCAAAGTGTAATACTTAGTAAGGAGACAATAACTAGATAAACATATAAATGATACAGCATAATGCCTTTCCGTCCTGAATCATCACAAGGCTCAATATTCTATAGATCATGTAATAATTTCATTCAGGAGCATAATAAAAGTCAAATTGGTTTCTGAGAGACAGTTATATATGGTAATCTGTTTTACTGCCCTCTCCTACTGACCATATTTGCATTGTAATATTAGTTTTGCTGGTGGGATTCTGCTATTGGTGCTCTTGTGGACGTAGATATGTATATATAGTTTATATTTACTGAACCATTATGGAAAGTGAGTTGTAAAGTTCTAAGATAAAAGGATTTATAATTATTTAAAGTATGGTGCACTGGTAATGGCTATAAATTCAGATGTAGCACACTTTTCTCCTCGTTAAAGAAGATTTCAATGGTTATATTTTCAAAATATCCTCAAAAGATTTTAACTTTCTGGACCTCATTAAGTCAATACCACATTCCTAATAGCAAAAAAGAGGCAGGTTTTATTGTAAAGATGCAGAAGTGGGCCTCTAGGGCAACAGTTTCCTGTAGTCTTGGGCATATGACTCTGACTCGTCACAAACATACCTTTGAAATAGGGTCAGTAAAATGTCCTTTTGTCTCGCTTGTTCTGGTTGTAAATTATTTGGGGGCAGAATCTATGTTCTAAAATATTAAATGCACAAAACCCATTCTAATGATTTATGCTGGAGTCATTAAGTGCTACTGAAATAGTATTGTTTAGCTTAAAAAGCAATAATTAAACCGTTTTATAAACCAAAGTTTGATTTGCAAATATAAGTCTATTTTGATAAACATTTCATTAAGTCCTTACAATTTTCTTTCTGAGGTGATATGCCCACCATTTTACAGATAGAGAACTGAAATGCAAAAACAATGTAGGAAAATTGTTGCAGATATAAAATATATCAGAACAGTTCCTAAAAATTTCATGTCAAACAGGGGGTGACTAGATCTTTTCCACAGTGTTTATTATTTTGATACTCAGTATATTGGGGGGGCTGAGCAGGCTAGACTCAACAGAAGTCTGGAGCCTGAAGGACTGAGTCACATCTTCCACAGGCATTCTTAAAATGATGCTCATCACTGATGTAGCCCATGCTGGTAGTACCAAATTATTGAACAGAGATTGGAAATCACGATGAACTTGGTGGGATATTGCTTTGCAGGTTTATGACCAGGGTAAGCATCCTTTGTGGAACAATAAAAACAGGAAATACATTTAAGCAGTGAATTAAACTATCCAGAAATAAGGGGAGTACCTACTGATTTCCTGTTTTCAGCTGTGACTCAGTCTACATCTTTGTACATCTCTGCTAAGTTTTACACTAAGTTCCATATATGCATATGTAGAAAAATAACCTGTCAGTCATTGTATTCAGTGCTTGATTATTCAAGAATTTTTAGTAAGAGCTGCTCTTCTGCTTTTCACAGTTGCTGATGCTGCCTTGCTAATCTGAATGTATTCAATACAATTAGAAAAACACTTTAGGAACTTGAATGGTCCCAGTCTGATTGCTTTATCACTGATATAGCTGATTGACCTATTTCCATGCAGCTTAAAACACCAGCTAGCAACCTTTTCTCCTGGATCAAGTTGACGTGCACTTTACAAATGATCATTGTCTTCTCATTGCTGGGTTATGGATTCAGCAGGTCAGCTTTTTTCCATATTTAGCGCTTCTCATTAAACACAATAGTACATCTCTTTCACAGACGTTGCAAAACACTTCATGGAGAATATTTTAATCAGAACAGAATTCCTGTTCTACTCACAAATTGTCCAGAAAAAAAATAAATTAAATACCTGAAATTATTAAGCATACTTCTGGTCACAAGAAAAAAGAGGTTGATATTTTTCTTTGGATTCTCTTATACAGATATCTTAGGAATTCTAGTGCAAAGTACTTTTTTTGGCATGCTTTTTTGTTAATGTGTGGTCTAAAAAATTCAGAGTTATGAGTGGACCTTATTTTGATAGTACTTTGGCAAGCCTGGAATCCTTTGCTGTCCTCATTTTATCTAAAGCAGAATAACACAGAAGTTAAAGAAGACTTTCACAAGGTCACAAGAGAAATTAGCTTTTCTGCATCAAGACTTATCGGTCTTACAGGACTATACTTCTTCCTTGAAGTAGTTTCTTGTCAAATAGAAGAACCTCAGGAATGTTTTTAGGTATACACCTTTAAATTAAAGAGTTGTTGAAGACAGTAGAAACAAGGGATATTAAGAAAACAGTTGGTTTCATCTACTGTAAATGTGCCTGTGGGTTGGTATAGGCACCAATGTGCTTTTTTATTGTTATTATTCTTTCTTGTCTGCCTGCTTTCTTTTTCTCCATTGCTACAGCATGTCTTCATTGGCTATATCAATCTTTCCTGTCCTTCTGTTTTTTATTAAAACCATTGTTGCCTTTTGTTGTATGTCCAGAATTGATCCCTTGCGATGAGGAAAGGTTGGGTGGAGGGAGGGCCATAAATAGAGTAAATCACAGCCAAAAGAGCGTGATATTTAACAGCTTGGGTTTGCAGCAGTAAAGGGCAAATTCGCAGGTGTCACATAGAGTGCTTTCATCGCCCAGAGGGGCAATTCCAACAAGGACTGCCTGCTGCAAAGTACAATGGTGTGAGGTGATTCGGGGGTCACCTGCACACAGTTCTCTTGATGGATTGCAGAAACTTTCTCTTGTACTGATCTTAGCTACATCCTTGCTGCCTGGGGTTTTCTGACAGGCCTTTTCTTCTGTCAGTAATGGACTCTTGCCTCCTGTTCAGTATCTTTTTCAAGGTAGTTACAGAAAATCCCCTGTGATCTATTGCACAGAGCTGGCAATCCAAAGAATTGTGCCCATGGTGTACTACTTTATTCTTTGCTCTCTCCAAAGCAGTTGACCCTTTTGCAACATTGGCAGTTGGATTAATGTACGCAATATGCACTTTGCAGATAATGCTATTGACTACATCTTCATGTACCGAGGGCAGGGAATCCAGGAGGGTAAATGGGATTTCTGGTGACTGGGAGGAATGTGATTAACTGCCTGATCTAATGCCCACTAAAGTGAGCAGAATGATTCCAGCTAATTCCATTGGACATTGAAGCAAAACATTTTTGGACTGGAACTCAAACCTCAAACAGTAAATTTCAGTAACAGCAAAACTGAAGGGAAGAAAGGGGTAAACTTCACCTAGTAGTTGTATCAGAGTAAAGCTGAAATACTGCATGAGGTCTTTCTAACAGCAGTCATTGATAAGAATTGGACCACTGAATCTTTGCCAAGGCACCAGAAACTAACAAAAAAAAATTAAATAGTTTTAACATTAGAAAGCTTTTGTCCTTTAGTAACTGTACAAGTAGTGCCCACACACGTGCACGATTTGGAAAACTTACAGGCAAAATGTTGGAACTGGAGTTCTTCCAAATTTAGATAATGTACATCAGAATTTAACCTCTTGGCTTAACAAAATGGGTAATAAATGGCATTTGTTTTTGTCCCAGCAATTTCAAGGAATTCCACGTCCACTGGTACATGGCAGTAAGCACTTCTTTTTCCTGAAGTAAGAGAAATAATAGAGGCATAGAGGCACAGTACAACTGCTCTTCAGATATTTCATTTCTGGAAAACTGGTGCAGCTCAGAACTCTACACCAATTAAAAATAAGTGAATTACAAAGAAAAATCAGCTGCGAGAACATGGACTAATTGGACTGGAAGGGGAAAAATAATAAAGTGGATACATATTTTGAGAAGTGCTCACAATAAATAAAAAGGAGAGACACTTTGCAGCCTCTCCATTTTCGCTTTATATAGAGTGATGCTCAAGGCAGGGTGATTCATGTGATGAAATAGAGGATCTGAGCAGATAATAGTTTGCCAATTCCCTGAGCTGCTTGCAGGACACAGAAGGTTGTCCAATTAATCCCTCTTGTTTGGATTAATCATGCCAGCCTGTTCTGTAGCACAGGCAGCAACCAAACAAGAACAGAAGAGATGACTCCTAGGCAGAATTTCACTCAGGAAAGGACTTTGGACAAAATCTGTATCCTGAATCTGTGCAATAATATTAACAAATAAACAGAAACCCCTTTCCTATTCATGTCCAAGCACTATCATATACGAAATTTATACAAATCATATTGAATAAGCTCATAAATTCCGATCAACTAAGTATAATAGTTGCAAATTATCACCTCTTTTCATGTTAAGCTTTATGCAGCACTCCTGCTTACACCTTTAGTCCTACAGACTTTTCATGTTTCCTTCTTCATCCTTTGCATCTTTCCCATAACTTTTTTTTATTTTTTATTTTTTCCCCAACTTCTTTCATGCTGGTCCCTCTTCCTACAGCACAACTGGTCTTTCTTGGATGCTACTCTTATTCTCTGCTCATAGATCCACTGAACTCCTTTAAAATTCTCTCCATAATTTTAAGGAAAAGCTGTAGAAAAACACCATAAACTAACCCACAACTCCAACACAAATTCCAAGGTTTATGACCTGATGAAATGACCTTATTGAAATAAGCTCAGAGCACAATAGACATAAAATACAAGTTTATGTTAATGGGTGGCTGTGGAAGTAAACACGTCAGCAAAATAAATTTCTGTTCTACAAACATAATTTTCCTTCAGGACAGAGAATGAAATAATTAATTGCCCCTTCTATGATAGACACAACAGCGTTGTTACCCCACACACATTCTGCATAATTCTGTTATTCATGCATCTTCTGAATACTTGGAAAGTATTTACAAAAACAAGGCCAGAATGAGACAATACAAGATAGGACTAGACAATATATTTATTTATTTTTAATATATATATATAAAGGTGTGATTACTGCCATTTGTACCATTCTATACACATTTTATACAAATTGATCATGGTTCTGATGTAAAATAGCTAGTTTTAGTGTCCACGTGAGGAGGATATCCGAAGGCATGGAAGTGCCCCCTGGAAACAATTGTGTTCTTTCAAGGTGTCTCAGCCCCAGTCTTGCTTTAGCTGCATTAACTGCAAGCACATGCAGGCTTCAGGAAACTGGAAGATTAAAAAGTCAGTGGAAATCTACACCCTGCATCACTCTATTCGCAAACACATTTTGAAGATTAGAAAGAAATAGTTGCATAAATTGTAGGGAATAAGCTTTTTGCTTTTCCCAGTCTGCGATTTGTTGTGAGCGCGTGCACGCACACAGATGCACATACTTAGATTAATATAACTACCTGAAGCAATACTGAGTTGCTAAATATTTTATGAGCCTGTGGAAGGTTAGTCATTATGCATGTTCCTCCGTGTGTCTCATTCACAGCCATTTACAGCTAATTGCAGCAGGACCCTGGAAGTTACACAGCTCTTTGCTGGAATAAAGTCTGATAAAACTTCCCTCGGAGTTTTATTTAGGGCCAAGGTCAACTCTCCGGTATTTTTAGTTTTTAAATGAAGACTTCATATCTTTCTAGGAAATAGTTTAGCTCACACTGCACTTTTGAGCTAGAAACAGAAATGAATGAATGAGGATTTTATGACCTTTGTTATTCCTCACGTCCATCCAGATGATCCTGCTGCCGCCTTTCAACCTCAGAGTTTACGAGTCCATGAATCTTAATGAAAGGATATTTTCAGCAGTATAGGGGACTTGAATTCCCACTTGTTCGAAGGCTGAATAATGTCTTAATTTTGTTCCTATTTCTTCATCTTAATGTTTAACCTTCCGAAAAGAAAAAAAATAAATTCACAAGATGTTGCTTGGTTGGGAAGCTGCTTGTACATCAAAAATATCCCAATGAAATATGTTTGAGCATCTTAATGATCATCTGCTGAAAA